AAATTGGGAAGTGTACAAAATGCTCACAATATTATATCTGCTCACCTGAGAAACATAAGAATGGCCTAAGTTCTTTTGGCCAACAGCACATGCAACACGGAAGTCATTGCTTTCACTAGATCCGTAGTGTCTGATCTTTGGAGCTTTGCTTCCTATAGTGTTGAGTGCTTCATTTGCCTGGCTCGACCCAAGGGGAGCTAGCTTCTTGGCATTTGAAGCATAAACCTAAATTGAAGAAGCAAATGGTTTTTATTCACTAGAATTTGGTATCTCTTAAAGCTTGTGAAACGGAGAAAGAGCTTGATAGTCCCCTGACACTTACAGCGTTATCCCTTGCATTTATTAATTTAATTTAGAATACAATCATAAGCACTAACACTATTTTCTAAGAGTTGTGTTTCTCTACATGTAAAATGGTTGGCATTGGGAATTTGTGCGGAGTGAGCTGTGCCACCATACACGTACACTGTACTTACTGCTATGATCTTTTCCAGGGACTGCCTCAAGCTTTTGTCTGTCAGATCCTTGCCATGGGGAAGGCCCCTGTGTTTGTAGGACTCAGGATTTTTTAAGTAGCCACACCAGTCACCACACGAAGAATGGTCACCATAAGCATGGGGCACAATAGACTTCAGACCATTTCGCACACCTTCTTCATTATCCTTATTTTGCTTTAGCGCATAACCAAAGCATCGCTGGAAATACTGTATCACCATATCTGTCAGGCTTTTGTATTGGGTCTTGATGCTGTATAGTGAGCTACCAAGGGATCTTTTAGCATGGACTACGTCTGACCATTTTTCAACCTCTTGCTCAAAATTTTTCCTCACTTTGCTTATGGTGGACGAATCATCATCCCCAACAAGAACAGATACAACTGCATTCTTTTCTCCACAACTGTTAAGCAGAGTAAAACCACAAAAATAAAATTTTGTGCCGTGAAAAGTGAGGGCATTCAAACTACTGTACACCTGGGCATTATCTTAAAGTATTTTCTTTTCTGCATTTTCAACATACTCATGTTCAAAATAAAGGTGCTGATTTTTATGTTTGTTTTCTTGTCAAATTTTGAATCATTATTACCAAGGGTGTAAGGTAATTAATGATAAACTTTCCACTGTTTATGGTTCAAGTGTCATTACTGTAACACTGAGATCATAAGAACAGATTCCACAA